ATATTCGGCCGCTGACATCTTCTGGTGACTTGCTTCCGAATATCATTCCCCAGCAACAGTTATTGGCCAGGCGGAGATGACTTACTCTCCCACATGCGTGGGAGTTCAGTCAGCTCTGCATGGAAAAATTTGGATGGTGATATGAGTTCAAAATTTTGAGGAACTTATCATAGCTGATGGTAAAGGATGCTAGTTAATTGTTGACAAAGAAACCATCAATATGGATTTCAAAGATTCAAAGAAAAAGGGCAAACTGCTTTTTTCCACACTTTGACGATTGTCAGCTTAGAAGGAAATAGGACAAAACTGATTTTTAGTGATGTTTGGAGGTTTGAAATGTACAAGGGCCAGCCAGGGGTCTTTAGATATTTGGACTCCACTCCGAATAATGTATGCAGAAGTGTGAAAACTCTAGTCCAAAAACGGCCAACCATTGGGCAGGTCCACCATTATTATTATTATTATACATGATTTATATAGTGCCAACAGTTTGCGCAGCGCTTTACAAAATGAAGGTAGACATAACAGTTACAATACAATTTGGTACAAGAGGAAACAGAGGGCCTTGCTCGTTAGAGCGTACAATCTGGGAGGAAGGGTTGAGTGATACAATAGATGGGGGGGGGGGGGGGGGGGGGGGGGGGTGAGCTGATGGAGGAAATAAATGGCAGTTTACTAGGTACAAGCAGGATAGACTTTTTTAAAGAGAAAGGTTTTCAGGGATCGTCTAAAGGTGGATAGATTAGGAGACAGCCGTACAGATTGGGGTAGAGAATTCCATAGGATGGGAGAAGCTTGGGAGAAGTTCTGGAGGCGAGCATGTGAGGAGGTGACACGGGAACTAGAGAGCAGAAGGTCTTGGGAGGACACCATGTGTAAAAATCACCAGAGGTTTGGCATTCCCTAAAACATAAACCTGTGTGTTCAGGGAACATGTGGGCCAGCCTGGAAGGAACTAGATACCATCTGGTCAAAATCTTATTTGCCAATTCAAGGGTGCTGACATTGATGGTGCAGAAGGAGTCCCTGCAAATTAAAGGAATCCCTAGGGGACCGTAAAAAGTCACAAGAACTAGTGTACCCATTGGAAGATTTGCCCGCTATTATTTTTCTGGGGATAACCCAACATTTGTGATTTTCCTATACTTCACTTCCACTTCCAATGACAATGGTAAATAGGACAGATAGGGTTAATCTCCCTAACAGGGGCACAGACTGCAATAACAACTGACAGGGTTCTAAACCATCTCCACTCGGTCTAAGGCCCCATGTACACGGGACACTTCTGAAGAATGGAAACTGACTGCTGGAAAAGGTAGGTTAAAAAACAGCTGTTTAGCCACGTTTGCATAACGCTTTTATGTGCATTTGCGTTTAGAAGCTTTTTTTAAAAGATAAGCACAGGAGAACCACCCAAATGCCCAGAATGCACTGAAAAGTGGTAAATTATTAACTATTTCAGACTGTTTCAGAGAAATACAGAGAGTAAAGCAGAGACAGCAGTATGTGTTGACAGTAGCTCAGGTGTGAGTTGCTCATTAACATTTCTTTTATTTCCAAGGGTGGGAAAGGTGTATGGTGGAGTGAGTATTAAGGCCACCTGGCAGGGGGTCTTCATAAGGAATTTGAGGTGGGAATGGTCATTAACATATCTTTTGTTTCCAAGGGTGGGAGAGGTCTGAGGTGTGAATTGGTCATTACAATGTGTGACAAGCTTGGTAGGAATATCCTGTGTGTTCAGTGTTATGTCCTTTTTTAGTACCTTGAAAACGCTTTGCATGCATTTTTCATAATGAAAAAAGGCCCTGGACAGCATCGGGAACTGGAGGCGTCAAAAAAAATTTCAAACGCAAAAGCTTATAACCGCGATTTGCCACGTTTGAAACGTTAATAAAATCGACTGCTGAACGCAAATTTTCTGCATTAAAAAAAAACTGACTGTAAGCAAAGATGTGTACATGGACACATAGGAAACCATTAGGGTGAGTTCAGGGGCTGCTGAAAAGAAAATACAAAACAAAAACACAGAACAGCTCCTAAACATGAGTTTATCAGCTGCAGTGTACATGAGCCCTAAAAGTTTAAAAAGAAAAAAAAAAAAAAAAGTTTTGCCATTAGTTGTACTTTAAATCACTCCTTGATGGTTGACCACGAGAGGATATAGACTATCGCCAGGAGAGAGAAGATGTATTGAGGCCATAACTGAGGCCATGTGCAGTTACCATTAAAGGAAGGGGGTCAAAAAGTAGGTTACTGGAATATTTAACACTATCCCAGACTTTTAAAATATATCAAAAAGGACTCCCTGTAGATGGTCATAGATTGTGAGTTGTCCATAGTAAAGGTTTGAGGTTTACAGGGGCACAGGAAGTCTCTTCCAATTGTACCAATAGAGGAGCCTTGCTAGCAGTGTATAGGGCTATAGGAGGGGTGATTTGAGCAACTTGGTAATATTTCATAAAATCTAGGACACCTAAAAACCATTAAGCTTTCCCTTCAAAGCACACATATTTTTGTACACTATGCTCTGGATTAAAAATACATTCATAAAAAAGGCTTAACTTTAAAAAAAAAAAAAAAAAAAAATGGGTTCAACAGAATTACTGAATGTATGGTAGTGATCAGTTTAAATATACAATTACATTATATCACATGCGATGCAAAATGTGAACTCAGTTTGTGCAATTATCTATTCACTTAAGAGACTCCAAAGAAAATAGGAGAAATTATTGTGTTTTCAGAGTAGTCTGGAACAGCCCAGAACACGGGTTACATCCTTGTAACGTGATCGAGGCTGACTGCCTCTGCTATATTTCACCTGTATAGTTGGAGGTGATCATTTCTGTCAAAGCCAGGTCAACAAGTTTTACCAGGTATAAAAAGTAAAAAAAATTGCAAACATCACATTACTCCTACAGTTCAATCTCTCTTTTGCCTCCCCCCCCCCCCCCCAAAAAAAAAAAAATAGCATGAATAAACCCAAAATAAAAGCAGATGTATGTGGATCCAGATAGGCCGATTTGCATACTGGATTCTTATATTCGTTTTTGAACTCCAGTGATGTGAATTTCCAGTTCTACAAGACACTACAGATTACTGACAACCAATGGTATACCATGCCCCTGAAGAAAGTTATCCACCACTCCGAAGTCCTATTTGGTTGGGCCAATTGCCCTCCTGAGGATTTACCCCCCTTCCAGACCAGGCCATTTTTTGCGTTACGGCGCTGTTACTTTAACTGACAATTGCACGGTCATGCAACATTGCACCCAAATGAAATTTACAACCTTTTTTCCCCACAAATTGAGCTTTCTAAGGTATATGATCACCTGTATGTTTATTTTTTGCGCCATAAAAAAAAAAAAGAAAAGAAAAAAACCAATAGTTTTGAGATAAAAACAATATTTTTGACTTTTTGCTTTTAATTAATGATGAAATTTTATTTTTAAAAATTTTTTTACTGGACATGTTTTAGGCCAAAATGTATTCTGCTGCATGTCTGCTAAAAAAAAAAATCCCAATATGTGTAAATTAATTGGCTTACGTGAAAGTTTTAACGTTGGTATAGATACTGGAATTTCTTTTTTTCTTCTTTTACTAGTAATAGCAGCGATTGGCGACTTATAACGGGACTGCGGAAGGAATTCTAACACTGGGGGGGGGAACAGACTTGGGTGTCACTGAAATCCCCAGTGACACCAATACAGTGATCAGTGCTAAACAAAAAGCACTGACACTGTACTAATGGCACTGGGCAAAAACGGGTTAACAGGGGCGGTCAAAGGGTTAACTATGTGCTGTTTTACTTGTGTCTCTTCTTCACTGTAATCACACTGCTTTGGATGGCTGTGCTGTGCACAGCCATCCAAAGCAGTGAGCACGACCTGACAGGGAGGAGAACTGTATTGTTTACATACAGTTCTCCTCCCTGTCGGAGATGCTCGGCAATCGCTGCGTGCCAGCGAGTAATCACCGGCCGGGACCTGGTGACGGACAGCCACGAATAGTGGCCTGCCCCCTACCCAGAAATGCAAAATCATGTATATATACACACACGTGATTTTGCGCACCAGTGCCAAACTGTAGCAGTATATCTGCTATAGGGCGGTCGGGAAGTGGTTAACTGGTGCTGAAGCCCAACAGGTATTTATTCTCACCTCAAATTATGCGTGAATCCAAGAGAAAGAAAGGAAAGAATCCTTTTGTAAGTAGAACTTAATTGTTTCAGACAAACATGGAGCACAGTCTGACTTCCTCCTCTGACCTGTTTTACTCAAACATGGGCTTAATCAAATACACAAGGATGGGAGAGGCATTTGCACATCCATAACATTAGCATTTGAAGGGACTTACAAAAACGAACAGGTCTTCAATTACAGTCCTGAATAATGTTAAGTTTATTTTTGGGATACAGCACCATACACAGAAATGTAATGTGGTGCATCCCATTACCTGCAGGTTTGGGCTTCTGATAAAAATCATCCCTGCAGTGTCTCCTTCCTAGCCACCAGATACTGCCTTGAGCAGCTGTCTTCCACAGCGGTGAGAGTTCCCTGCAACCACAGCTCCTGAGAAAAGCTGCTCTGCTTGCCTGCCCCTTTCTGCCCTCCCCACCAGTCACAGAACTCGTATTACTATGATCCCACAATGCATCACGATGGAGAGGACAGAAGGGGACTGGCGAGCAGAGTAACCATTGTCAATACTGGCGGCTGCAGTTACAGCATTTTTATGGAACTAGGAATACTAACAGAAACATCTTGCCATTGAGGTTGTGCAATATAAGAAGATGATTCAAAGGTGATAAATCAGTCTCACATGAAGCCGACCTTTAATATGTTATAGATGTCATGCTGTATTTGTTACTTACGAAGCTTAATCATTACAGCCAACATGAAATGCCGATGGAGACGCACACCCTTGCGCAAACAATGTTACTCCTAGAGATGCAGAAAACAGTCTATACTCCATAGAAAAACGGATCTACTGCATTTACTCACTTTACAATGTTTGGATGGTCAAAGTGCTCAAGGCGTTTCAGCAGCGCTACCTCTCTGACAGTAGAGAGTGGAAGTCCATTCTCGTTTGTCTGCACTCGTACATTTTTTAAGGCCACAAACTTTCCGCTCTGCAGATCTCTTGCTTTGTACACCGTACCGTAGGCACCAACACCAATTTCAGCTACAGGTTCATACTGTCCTCGTATCTCCTTAGCCATATTCCTGGCCACCCGACTGACTCAGACGTTTTCTCCCTGTAAATAGAAGGTGAATTGCAGTTACCCACCACTACAATCATGCTAAAACAAACAAAACAAATAGTATCTTGAAGCATCCCCAACAATCTTCCAGATATAATGCATGGAATAGGACTGTAAAATAGGCTTTTCAAGAAGCAAAACGGCATATTTACCAACAGGCACTTCTACCCCATGTGCTCAGGCCAATTTTCGGCTTTCAACGAGGTCGCACTTTGAACGACAATTGCGTGGTCATGCAACACTGTACCCATTTTTTTTTTCACACAAAGAAAGCTTTCTCTTGGTGGTATTTAATCGCCACTGGGTGTTTTATTTTTTGCACTATAAACAAAAAAAGAGCAAAACATTTGAAAAAAAAAAAAAAATGTTTCTTTGTTTCTATTATAAAAATTTTGCAAACAGGTAATTTTTCTCCTTCACTGATGAGTGTTGATGAGGCTGCACTGATAGCCAGCAATGATGGGCACTGATAGGTAGCCCTGATGGGTGTCACTGATCATCAATGCTGATCTGTTGTCTGACAAATGCTGGTTATCGGCAGTACCTTCCTGTGACAGAGTGAGGAAAGTGCTGCCGATAACCAGCAACTGTATTTACACTGTGATCTGCTGTGTCATTGGACACGGCTGATCACATGGTAAAAAGGCCGCTGTGATTGGCCTTTTACTGATCACGGAGATCATCAGGTGCACTGGGGGGGGCACGCAGGAGGGCGCGTTCTTGGAGGACATCATATGATGCCCTCCCAGAACTTGACAACCTTGCTGTAGCCATCATTCGGCTATAGCGCAGTTGCCAAGTGGTTAATAAGGCAGTAAAGAAGCAATGCTGATGTGCAGTAGTAAGCAACAGCAAGAAAAGATAAGAATACTGCAGTCACAGGAGACAGATATGAACAGTTGTTTGTCTGTACTTCTCCTATAAGTGCAGTACCCCCTAAGCTCTTTTGGCTGTACTTCTGTGGATCACAGGAGTGTAGTTTCGTTCTGCACTCCTTTGACCAGTTTTCAGCTGACAGCGGGCTGAAGCCCGCTGTCAGTTTGGCGAAATAATATTTTTAGCTCTGCCGCTATAACTTACCACTAATGAAGGATGTCCAGCATCGTGCAGGCAGCTGTATCCTGGAGAAATCTTTGCTGCAGAGATGCCAGTCCTCTTCCTGGCTCAGAACATCTGGTGTGCAGGATGTTAATAGCTTCTGGCTGGATTTGATAGAAAATGTTCCTGACAAGGACTTGCCCCTTTCCCTCCATTGAGAAACATTCTTTCACTACCATGTGTAAATGAGGGGAGTGTGTGATGAGTCACATGATCTCTCCCTATTCACAGACCACCCTACAGGCAACAGAAGCAAAGAAAGACAGTAAAAGCAAGGAAAGAAAATTTCTCAATGGAGGAGGGTGGAGGTGGCAGATGCCTGAAACTATTAACCCCCTGCATACTGGATGTTCAGAGCCGGAAAGAGGACCACCATCTCCAGAGTGAAGATTTCTACATAATTGAACTGCCTGATCATGGAATGTACTTCACTACTGGTAAGACTAAAGCTGCAGGGCTAAAAAAAAAATAAAAAATAAAAAAATGTATTTAAACATCAGCCAGCATCAGGCAGCCTGAAAGTTCTTAACACCCATTATCACCACCCTTTACGAAGACTGTTAACACAACATACAGATTCACTTAAAGCGTTTCTAAACTCAGGCCCCTGCATTCACTATATCTCGTCTCCCACAGTACACAAAAATGCTACTCTTTTAGTAAATATAAACTGCTAAATACCTTTTCTCATCAGCAGTATAGAGCAGTCTTGTGACTTCTCTCAGGGTCCAGATGAGCACTGGCTAAGCTTGTAGAAGTTTTCATTCTTCTCTGACTGCCCTATGAGGCTGCATGCCCCCTGACCCTCTGTCTGGACAGTGCCGATTAGCCCTGTGCCAATTATGAGTGTAAAAAAAAAAAAAAAAAGCCTCTCTAGCAATACACACCAAACTGAGCATGTGCAGAGTTTCTCCTAGGGCTCTCTATTATCAGCATAAGGATTTGGGACTGGGGGAGAATCAGAGAAGATAGGATCAAACATCCTTTTTACACAATGCAGAGGATTAACCCCTTAGGTTCCACAGCGAGTAGAACAAGCATGCCTTACTGCATATACAGCCTGATTTTACTCTTGCCGATTCAGTAACACTTTAAGACTTAATAAAACTACAGCTAAGATAACAGTAGCAACTGCCTTTTTTTGCCACCAGATACCCAGTTCCATCTTTGAGGCAAAGCTCAACCTTTGCTGCCTGCTATGGAGAACAGTTCTATTTTGCATTGCACCAATTTGCAAGGATTAGCGTCATTATGAATCCAGCATGTTGAATCAGCTTCTCTAGTACCAAGATGGCAGCTGCTCTGCAACCAACCACTAGAACGATCAAATGCTATAATCACCCAAACTATAAGGGATGACTAAAATCAAAGTAACTATTGGTATACAACAGAAGCCTCAAAGTGAAGTAAAGGCTACATACACTCACCGGACACTTTATTAGGTACATCTCAAGTGCTTGGTAACACAAATTGCTAATCAGCCAATCAAATGGGAACAACTCAATGCATTTAGTCATCTAGACGCAGTGAAGACGACTTGCTGAAGTCCAAATCGAGCAACAGAATGGGGAAGAAAAAGAAAATATCCAGCGAGCGGCAGTTGTGTGGACAAAAGTGCCTTGGTGATGTCAGAGAAGAATGAGCACACTGGTTGCTGTGACATTCAGTAGGTAGGGTCAGAATATGGTAGAAACGTGAAAGAATGGATCCATTCTGCCTAGCATCAACAGTTCAGGCTGGGTGGTGTAATGGTGTGGGGGATGTTTTCTTGGAACTAGCAAGGTGTACCTAATACAGGATCATTCACGAAGCGCAGCGCTACTTGCGCTTGCACAGTGGGGCCCCGGCTGTGAAGCCACAAGCTGTCACAGCCGGGTGCCCGCACTGAAGATGCAGGCCTCCTAGTATACAGGATGGCTGGTGAAAAGAGCTGCGGGGGACACACCGCAGGACCAAGGGACAGGTGAGTGGCTGTTTTTAAAAGTCAAGAGCTACAGTTTTTTGTAGCTGCCGACTTATTTTTTTGATAGGTTGAGTGGAACTCCGCTTTAAAACCACTGCTTACCCACTTATGCTTTATAGGGCTGGCAAAAAACACATTATATCCCTTACTGCAATCCACTCTGGCCCAATCATGTGATGCAGAAGCTCTGAATCTTTGCTATGGAGTGCTCGGATTGTGGGAGCCATGACATCATCCACCAGCTTCCACTGCCCATCCATTGCCAGTGCTTCCTCCTCTTCCCTGCAGCAGCTGCTCCACAAGACAGGGGAGCCAGTGCATTGGCATCATATGACCAAAAGGGAGAAGATTGAATTAAGGTGTTTACACAGATCTATTTTACCAGCACTATCCAGAGTAGGAGGAAAGGGGAAGCAGTGGTTTTAAGAATATTCATATACAGCCTTTACTAATTACACAAGCTCTGAGGCTTGTTCACACCAGGGTGCAGACGGTCGTTTTTCTGCAAGGGCACAACAAAAATCAATTGTTCTCTGTGTGCCCTGTTCACACCACAACACTATCATCACGTGCAGATTTTTTCTGCGCAGGAATCTGAAATGTGTATAAAACTCATTGAAGCGCACATGAAAACTGATGTAAACTCGTGTTTCAAGTGAAATGTGCACATCAGTTTCCATCAGTTTTTCTGCACGTATGGTGAGAATGTGGCCTTAATAGGCTTTGATTTACGGCAATGCAATCTGCTGATCTTGGGGTAACAAGAAATCCTTTGAGATTTCAATATGCCAATCTGTGTCCTCATAAGGAATGTACTGTACTGAATAGTCTCATGTTTGTTACCCAGTGTAGACTCCTGCAGTGTCCTTCATGAGCTCCTGAATGGCCAAAGTGACAATACTGCTCTAACCCAAGCATATGTTATTTATTTATTTCAGGTACTTATAACACCATCAATTTACACAGCACTTTACATATATATTGTACATTCACATCAGTCCTTCAAAACTTGGTTGAGTCAGCACATAAGTAATGCTTGAGCCCACATGAAAGTTGCAAGGTGTAGAATGCAAGCTGTAGTAAGAGTCATACATTCTTTCTACGAGCCTCAACCCATCCTGCCGCAGAAATTTCACACTACAGTTAAGATGATAGACATCTATTCGTGACTTAGCTTAATTCGGCATTTTTATTAGAGCCTAACCCCCTTTCCTTTACAGCCAAGAAAGCTGCCATCTTAGCCTGTTTGATCTGCAGGTCCCATGATGCTGCATATGATCAGCTAAGACACCAGATATTTGATGGCCCAGCACTCTAGGGGCACTTGTGTGTACTCGCTCCCAAGCCGCTTCTGTGTCTCTATAAGCCTTAGCCTCGCCCCCTTCCTCACTGGCTGTGATTGCCAGCAGCAGGAGTTGATGGCCCCCTCCGCTGTATCTAAGCCAATGAGGAGGCAAGAGAACCGGGAGAGCTTCTGCTCTCATACAAATCACTGGCTCAGGATCAGACTCAGGTGAATATAGGGGGAAAATTAAGGTTTTTACCTACCTACATAGGATGTATGAAGGTAAAAAGAACTTCAACCTTTAGAACCACTTTTAAGAGGTTAACTAAAATCTGACCGGCATACAGACATGGGTATGCTGTGGTTTGGCCACAGCATGAGTGTATCTGCGATTTTTGTGCTCTTCACTTGTGGTTTTAGCCACAGTCTCATAGGCTTTGTACTGGAATGTGCATTTTTGCCGCAATCGCTGAAAATGCACCAAAATGCAGGCTGTGTAGGGCTTTTGGTGTACATTCAAAAAAAAAACACGCCAAGAACGAGCAACTTAACAGAAAGTCTAAGAGACCACAGCTAAAACGCATACCCATTTTTGTAGCCAACCCACAATGC